ATGGAATATCAGCTAGGATCTCAAGTTCTGCGGTGTTAAGTGCTACTTGAACGTCAACCGCTATTATACACCACGTTACAACATAATTAAATCTCGGGAAATGCTTGCAGCCGCGCATTTCTATCTGATACTAAAGTAGAAAACCTCGACAAGAGTAGCTTTTGTTTCTGAGAGTGTAAAAATCCCAGAGTCCACAGAAGCAGGACTTGTCAATACACCTGCTCGGCCGAATTCGCAAGCCATAATCCTCCAGAATGGTCGTACAGCAGGAAAACTAGCTCTATCGCACGAGATACAGATCAACCTACATGCGCTACAACAGCCACAAAAAGCCACAACAACTACTACCACTCAATGGTGAATATCCTATAATAATTAGACCACCCCGAACCTGAACCGAGGACTTGAAAACCAGTACAATAAGACGTGCCTCCCAATTTCGTAGAGAGCGACACAAGTGCATTCATTATAAGAATGACCGTACTTATTCGAGTAATACGGCATTAAAACCACAATATCCGCCAATGGAAGCCCTGGGTGGTCGGTTGCGATTGTGACAGGACTATCCAGGTCAGCAATAAACTGAGCTTACACCAGTCCCCCACCTGATTGTTCCAGGATGAAAAGCAATTAGCAAACCAGCACTACTATACTGATAATGCAATAGCAATAGACAGCTACCGTTAGATAGGTGGTGAGTAAGAAGGTTTGCACAGTCCTACAAAGGCTAGGCTTCGCATCATACTTTTCTTCTCGACAAGTTTGGTCATAGTTCTTAGGATTGGTCTGCGTACATAGTACTTGCCCCGGATTAGTGTAAATGGCCGATCCCCTCCCGGATAGGTAGGTATAGGGCGATTGTACTCCAGGACCTCGGGAACCTCCTTCAGCATCTCCAAAATAGCGGGGCTTATCGCGACGCTGACCCGACTCCTCACGTCAGATGGTTACGCAACATGCATATACGACCTATAACAAGCATCGTCGGGTTCAAGCCCCTCCTTTCCGGAATCTATAAAGGGTCGGCAGACAGCCACTACAGGTCATTGTAACAACATCCGAAGGGTATTCACAATGTCTGCTGTCCAGATGAAGCCAGGCTCCATGAAAGTCACGGGAGAGGAGCTCAAGCCGATCATCAAGAAAGCCGGACTCGAGCTGACGGAGTCTCTCGTCGAAGACTTCAGCGCTTTGCTAACCAGCTTCGAGGCCGCTGCAGATTCGCTACCAGACGACGGGCCGGTGCAACCAAGGCCCGATTTAAAGAAGTATCCCCGAAAAGACATCCACATCCCCGAAGATACGGAGTTTGGCGCTTGGGCGACGAAGGTATGCCGTCTTTAATTCCTCCTTTGACGCACCACATCTGGATTTTGTGCATTGGAACTCGCTCATATTGCCCTATAGGTGACGGCGACATGTACTAGCCCAAAGAGCAATCTGCTAGCGGGGAGGACAGTGGCCCTCAAAGATAACATAGCCCTGGCAGGCGTGAGGTGCACTAATGGTACAGCAATGGTGGAATGGGTCCCAGAGGTCGACGCGACAATCGCGACCCGGATCATGGATGCCGGGGCTACGATAACAGGGAAAGCCGGTTAGATCCCCTATGGCTTCCGGCAAAGACGACGTAGTTCCGTGGCTAATCGAGCGTAGCTTGCGAGAATGCTTGCATGGAGGGAGTCTCGTGTACATCGGTCACCGGACCCGTGCACAACCCTTACGCAGAAGGATACAGTGCCGGTGGCTCAAGCAGCGGGTCCGGGCGGCTTGTGGCCACGGGCTCCGTCGACCTTGCTATTGGCTGCGACCAAGGCGGGAGCATCCGTATGCCGGCTGCTGCCTGCGGTATTGTTGGATTGAAGCCGACATGGGGCCTTGTCCCGTATACCGGTATTTTGAGCCTAAATGCGACAGTAGACCATGTCGGTCCGATGACGAAAACCGTTCGAGACTGTGCTCTCCTTCTTGAGGTCATTGCCGGACCGGACGGGTGGGATGACCGGCAGCCACCAATCGAGCTGGGAGGGTGCCCGTCGAAGTTTGTGCGCGATGTTGATGCGGTAACCAGATTGCCCAAAAACGGTATGCTCGATGGATTGAAGGTCGGTATCCTACTGGAGGGGTTCCAGATTCCTGGCAAAGATGAGAATGTTGCGGCGTCCGTTCGCTCCGCAGCCGAAAGGTTTAGCGAGCTAGGAGCGACTGTTTCTTCTGTCTCTGTACCGAAGCACTTGGGAGCTACGAATGCGTGGCTGTGTTGTATATTCTCATCGAGTTCCCCGGGAGCATTGCTTGGGGATAAGGTTGGGCGGAAACAACTCGAGTTCTCAGATCGATGTGAGCTTGTCGGCGACAAACTGACGCAAGCTCAATTTGATGCTCTTGGGCCCGGAGCTTCGTACATGCATCTTACGTCCCTTTGGGCGAAGGAACGCTATGGCCCCAAGCTTCATGCCCGATCTACGAATTTTTTGAAGGCACTCAGTGTGCGTAAATACCTATCCCCTATTACTCGCTCCATTAAAAACTGACAGTAGAATAGGACGCCTATGATTTAGCGTTGAAAGATGTCGACGTTCTCATAACACCTACGGTGCCTGTAACGCCGCCTCGATTCCCAGCTTCAGGATACAGCGAAGGGCCATTGAAGTTCATGGGGATAACAACCGGTCTTTTAGCCAATACTAGTCCCTTCAACAGTAAGCAGACTCTCTCCAGTAAAAGGAATAGGTCATTCTCTCGACTAACACGAACGTGTCAGGCACTGGACATCCTGCCCTTTCTCTACCCGTTGGGTTTTCTCCTGCTCACGAGGATCCAAATGTGAAGTTGCCCGTGGGTATGCAGATTATTGGTCGCAAATATAGGGACATTGATTGCCTCAAGGTCGCGGCAGCGTGGGAGAAGGCATTTGATTGGAAATCTTTGTAGAATGGAATGTTATGGATGTCGGAACTCGTTAGACAAATTTGAGCGCCGCTCACTAAACGATCCGTGCTACCCAAAGAATGCCATTCAGCACATGCGTCATAAAAGCCTCGTTCTGAAAAGTCTCGTCGAAGTGTCCAAGAGCAGTATAGAAGGACCGGCCGCCGTCAAACTCGCGACACCACGCGAGGGGGTGGTCGGTACCCATTGTGCCACCTTCATAACCCGATTCGTCTGTCGATAGTAGCACTGTCACCTTGTCGCGTGGGTTCCATGTGAAATTGTACCATTCATCAAACCATTTGAACTCCTCTGGGAACCCCGACACTATTACATGGTCCTTGTTCTCAACCCTTACAACGCCATGCTGCGGCTCCGGGTGATTTGTGAAATAAGCGCCAACAAGCTCGCCGTACCATGGCTCCGAACGCATGCCTGACGAGGCACAGTGGATGCCGACGAACCCCCCGCCACTGTTGATATATGTCTTCAATCCATGCAGCTGTTCCTTCGTGAGAAACTCGCCGCTTGTCGATAAAAAGACGACGGCTTTGAATTGTGACAGGAAGTTGGCGTTAACGAGGGACGAGTCTTCCGAGGCCTCGACAGTGAAGTAGTTGGTCGAAGCACCGAGGCGCGTGAGACCCTCGATGCCTGATGGGATGGAGTCATGTCTATAGTCAACGGTTTTGCTGAAGACAAAGACACGGAACTTTTCTTGGTCACTCATCGCGGGAGCTAATAATATAGCCCAACTCGAATCTGACTGCATAGATGTTACTTTTCTGGAACAAGCGCCGGTTATTGAGACTGCGCATGGGCTACCTATTAATGGTCCACATGCACGCACCCCGCATACTCTGAAATGGCGTGAAACGAGGAGTTGATCGAGTGCGGGGATACGGGTGTTGTTGTGGGCCGTTATAGCCAGTAATCCATAGAATATTAAGTCTTATTATGACTTCGTCGGGGTGATACTGCGATTATACCATTGATGCCAGTAATTACCATAACTAGCAACCGCGTCCCTGACAAAGAATCTACATCTCGCTTTATGTTAGACTCGTCTGTATTCGTGCCAGTTTGACGCAACTGATTTCCTCACGGGTCTTCAATAACAATGCAGTTCGGGTCGTTGTGAATACTGACTCTGGTCTCAACCGTGACAGCGCAATATCCGTCTAGCTTTACCGATGCTTTAGGTTCCCAGAACTTGAGTCTATCGAGTCTCAACGGTATGAGACTCCACCCTGACAGTGATAGGACGTATCTAGCTCTCATACAGCTCTCTTGCAGCAAAATCCCCAGTTTCTTTAGTCAATTGGAAATATATCGAATGGTATGTCATGTGGTCAATGTCATCCCATGCCATCTCACCTCATGAAAGAAGTGCATCATGCTATAGATATCACCGTTATTCCAGGCAACAGACAGTGTATGAGCAAGCTTAGTAAAGACACCGCTAACAACATCGGATAGTGACATCCTTGGCCCTAAATAAAGATGCCATAAATACAGTCATGAACAATCACAACACCAGTTCTTCGTCTCCTGGTACTTCCCGCGGGGATTTACAGGCACTCTTAAGCTAGCTACCACGTCTTGAGCGGCACGATTACCCGTCAAACATCACCAACTCAGAATTTATCCCTACATGATTGACGAACCCTTCATACACCAACCAGACCGGTGGCCAGCGTGTTGAATGCATGTCGAATAACAACAATGTAACATTCGTCAGCGCCTTGAGGTAATATTGAAACCTCGGTACGAAGGCGCCCCTCATAGTTACCACCCACGTACGTCAGCACTTGTATAGCCTAGTCGCGGCTCCAAGTTTTATGCCAATTCCGGCTGTCATCCGTTTCTATTTTAGAGGCATGCCGACCGTGAGTCGACCTATAGTAGATATGCATCAAACAGTGCTGCCCTTGTTGAACGCGAGCATTCGTGAGCGCAAGTGGATTGACTTGTGAATTGTGGAGGGGGCACAAATAAGATGGGAAAAGGGAAGAAGAAAAAATAGTCTCATTTCTTACCTCCTAAAGAGGAGTTTACAGAAAAAGGAATGGTCAGTATGAGGATCGAACTCATGACCTTCGCATTACTTGATACAATTGGTGTTGTATTAGTACCTGGGGGAGTCAGTTTTGAGTTCGAATTGGGCCTGAATTTTCTCAACTTACGACGCTCTAACCAGCTGAGCTAACCGACCAAGTTGGTTAATTGGGCAATTTTTTAATTCTTTTGCTCTATGTAGTTACCCTACACACTAATCACCGCCGCCGACCAGACACAGGACCTGACCAGCCATAATCTTCGTCCAATATAACGAGATCTTCTACGCCATCGGCAGCGTCGTAGGCACCAGACGACAGACGAGCTTAACCATATCATCAGGTATCACGCGGTGAACGGGACGGTAGCCTACTCCCCCCGATCTTGGAAACACTGCTCTGCGAACCGAGGATGGGCAGGACCTTAATATCCGCGCCATCAACAGCCAGACATACGTCAATTCCGCTCGCGTCACCGTGCCCGGCATTCTGTACGCTAACGGTGTCATTCATTTTACCGATCAGAAAGTTTATCCCTATCCCTTCCGGACCCTGCGCGCGACTTGAACTTGGCCATTAATCATACACGGGGCCTTGAACCCCAACAACACCTCCGCTACTCCAAACACATCGGCAACGTCCGCCGGGCCCGCTTATATGGGCGCTAGCAGCGGCACGATTCCCTTCACTAGCGGCGTTACGACGTCTACGACAACCTATCCGGCCGCTACCTCGGCCGGCGGCGAAAGTCCTTCTGGTGGAGCTGCCGTGCCCTGAGGACCGGCGTCGTTCGTGCCGCCGCGCTCGAAGGCGGGGCTGTATGCTCATCAACTTATGATTCTCGTTGCTGGCATATCGAGAATTTTAGGGGGCATGTATATTTATCAAGTCGTCAACCAATTATTACCGCAAGATGAATTCAGCAATGAGGGGATTGGATAGTGATCGCAACAAACCTGTACATCAGAAACACAGAGATCTTAGGAAGACGGGTGCCAACGTGGGATATGTAAAGCGAGCATGCACGTAAAATAAAAACGATTCAAAACACGCCGCAGCCAAATCGGTGGTCTGGAAATGAATTGATCCAACCGACTACATACACTACGCGATCCAGAACCAAATCCTCTCCAAGAAATTCCTCGGTTTCGCCTCCGGCCACGTGCCCTCAAGACGATCGACCTCGGCCTTGCCACTCCAAAGATCCATCTCGCCGAGCGGGACTAGCTTGGTCTTCTTGACGAGCTTGTACCCAAAGAAGAGAGCCAGGAAGATGGGCACGTCGATGTATGGCGGGACGAATGTCTTGGCGCCAAACTTGCCGGGGAAGAAGGCGTCGAAGCCGTTAAAGAAGGCCACGACGAGGCAGAAGCAGAGCGCGAAGTACGCGAGGAACGGCTGCAGGGGCGCCTTGTACGGCAGGCTGTCGCGCGATATGCCGTTGTGGCGCAGGCCGTGGTAGAAGCGCAGGTACGTGACGCACACGGACGACCACACGATGAGCGTCGACACGGCCGAGAGGCTCGAGAACCAGAAGAAGACCTCCTCGCCGCCGTGGCTGACGGTCAGGTAGCTCAGCAGCGTGAGCAGCGTCGTGGCCGCCACGCACGCGTAGGGGACCCCCCAGCGCTCGAGGGCGAAGAGCCGCGGCGCCTTGCCGTCGAGCGCCGCCGCGTACAGCACGCGCGTCGAGGCGTAGAAGAACGAGTTCCCCGCCGACCACGCGGAGCTGAGGACCACGGCGTTGATGATCGACGGCAGCACGGCGATGCCGCCGTTCTCGATGGCGATGACGAACGGGCTGGCCGCGGCGCCGGGGGCCGAGCTGCGGATGGCGTCGAGGAGGCGCGCGTCCTTCGAGGACACGCACAGCGTGACCAGGAAGATGGCGAGCACGTAGAACAGCGCGATGCGCCAGAAGACGCGGCGGATGGCCTTGGGGATGTTGCGGCGCGGGTCCTCGGTCTCGCCCGAGGCGATGACGACCATCTCGCTGCCGCCGTAGCTGAACGTCGCCTGGATGAAGACCTTCCAGAAGGCGAGGAAGCGGCCGAGGGAGCCGGCCACGAGGTACGCGTTCATCGGGCCCGGGTCCGCCCAGTAGCGGAAGCCGATGCGCTCGCCGGACGGGGTCCCGCCGAGCGTGACGACGAACATGAGCAGGATCAGCCCCACGATGGTCGTCAGCTTGACGGCGCCGAAGGCGAACTCGGCCTCGCCGTAGATGCGCACGGGGAAGCAGTTGACGGCGACCATGGCGAAGAGGAAGAGCGTGATCAGCGCCGCCGTCGGCACCGTGTTCGGCCAGTAGTCCACGATGACCACGCTCACCGTCACCTCGATCGGCACCCCGATGGCGATCTGCCACCAGTAGTTCCACGAGACGGCGAACCCCAGCGCCTCGTCGACGTAGCGCGCCGCGTAGATGGGGACCGCGCCGGGGAGCGGGAGGTACGTCGCCATCTCCCCCAGGCTGTGCACCACGCAGTACACGTTGAAGGCCGTGATCAGGTACGCCAGGAAGGCCGACAGCGGGCCCGCGAGCGAGATCACCTGTCCGCTGCCGATGAAGAGCCCCGTGCCGATGGCCCCCGAGAGCGCCATGAACTGCACGTGGCGCGACTTCAGCTTTCGCTCCAGGGTGCCGACGTGTCGGTGCTCGTGCTCTGCCTTGAAGTCTCGGGCGAGATCATCGTGGGTAGTGATCGGGTCTGACTTCGACTCAATCTGGTGACTTGCCGCCTCGATGTCGGCCATTGTGGTGGTTTGTTGTCACTTCGATGAAATCCGTGATGTGAAACCCTTTTGTCCCATGTCTCAATCTGAAGCCCTGCACACGACGTCTAGCGAATGCATGAACTCTGGAACTACTCCCTTGGGGTTGGGGTGAGCGGTCGGTTGCTTCGCTTCTTTATACCTCTATGAAGAGGAGTGGGCTCTTTGTATATGGGAGCAGTTACTTCTTAGAAGGTAGATAGGCAGTTCTAAGGTACTTCACTTTCTACACACATCCAAATCTTATCTTACACTCATGAGGGGGAGCTGTGATTTATCTACACGACCTCTATCTACACCCTGGTCACCGACAGAGCAACTTGGCTATGGTTCACAGAAGAACGTGCCGAGTATGGCGGGGTAGCTTCATAACCCATGTCGATTCTAAACTGGATGCTACGTATCATCATGAGGGACCGCCTTGCGGTGCTTGGCGGTGACAGAAACCTAGGATTCAAGCTGTCCCACATGAGTGGATGAGGAGGCATGTCGATCTTTGTACTACGAGTTGGAGATTGAGTGTGGGGATATATATGGAGCCAAGCCATTATCAGCTACTTAAAAGAGCAAAGAGCATTCTTATGTCAATAGTCACAACAGATAATTGAGTAATAGCTCGCATTAAATATTATCGGGGCTATAAATCTGGCTTGAACAGGCTCAGGTTATAAGGCGCTGGGGGGCCATCACTGCCAAACGTAATGCAGTTAGAGCGTATGAGCTAATTATGCGTTGATTAGGACGTGGTTCGCGTAAATTTGAACCAAGTTTGAAGAAGCCGGGTACCGAGTAGTGAAATGCAGCCCTTCCAACTACCGTGATCGGCTTCGTCTTCACCTGTTGGGTTAGATAGCCGAAGCAGCGGAATCCAATCGAATGCAGGATGGACGGCCCCGAAGGTTGTGATTCACGTAGACAGCTATCTGTAAGATGGCTTTCAAAATGGGCTGTCTCGCTGGGCCAATCGCAAAGACAGGATGTCCTGTTTTCCCGTATATTTGGGATAATGCCGAAAACATTGGATCTTGTGAGGGTTCACGTCGCTGTGTTTGAGCACTGGGGCGACGTGGTAGTAAATGGAGCCGATGCCAAGTAGTGGTGTTCTGATGCGTTATCATGGTCGGCGAGCATAGTAGCGCTCTATTCTGATCAGATGGAGTGATCAAGCGCAGTGTTCACCGATTTACAGCACTGGTTCCATAACGGTATCGTCCCGAGAAGACTGATTCCAGGGCTGTCATGAGTTCGTCAAAGCTGCGTCGTGCAACAAAACCCGCCCATCGGTGGGCTTTTGTTGTGACATGCTGGCCTTCGGTGTGATGATTGAGGTGTTGAAACGTCGGCCTCACAATGGAGGGCCAAACATATCGCCCCCACCCGCGACTCTCCTTCTCTTGGGGTCCCTCTCCTCGTCCTTGGTCTTGATGTTACTGGCACCGAATACATCACCGTCTTCTTTCACAGCTACCTTCCCTTTGGCCTTCTGCAGGGCCTGCTCTCGCCTTGCCTTCTGCAATGCAACCAAATCGACGCGGTCCGGGTCCCGACACCTCCTCAATTTCTTATTCAGGGGTTTCATCGTCTCTTTACTTCTGCCCTGTCGTTCTAATTAGTATCCAAAGTCGGTGCCGAGCGCACAGGGGCGGGTTCTTACTGCATCCCAGAACGACGTCCGCCTTTCGGGGGGCTCCTTCTCTAGCATGGCTCTGCAACTCTGTATCATTTCCAAGGCTTGGTTCTTGGCGCTCTCGCTCTGGCCGGCAAAGGCGTCGCGTAGCAATCGCTGTAGTAGACCCTCATCCGCCATGGACAAGGCGCCGAACATGACCTGGCTCGGGGTGTAGTGGAAGTACGCGTCGGTGAGCAGCGGGCTGAACTTCAGAATATCGCGTGTTCTCTGATGCGCGCGGGCCAGGCGGCTCTCGTCGAAGTCGCCAAGCCTCCGCAGCTCCATGACGGCGCCCTCCAGCGCGCGGTAGGGGTGGCGCACGTCGAAGGCGAAGCGCAGGCCCTGGCACAGGACGTACTCGGCGGCCAGGACCTCCTCGCCGGTGGTGCCGGGGAACTTGTCGGCAAACTTCTGCAGGCGGTAGTACAGGCCCTCGGCCTTGCAGGCGAAGAAGATGCAGGTCATGGTCAGGGCGCGGGGCGGGTAGGTCATGAGGCTGTTGGTGAGGTAGAAGCGGCGGAAGAAGATGGCGGCGGTGGCCTGGATCTCGGTGGGCAGGTCGCAGAACTGGGCGGCGCGCAGCAGGTCGACGACGTAGAAGTTGAGCAGCACGGCCTCGTCGGCGGGCGTGAGGAAGTCGGGCAGCGGGTCGACGGGCGGCGACGAGGCGCGCAGGCGGCTGGAGATGTGCGAGACGGCGAGCGAGTTGGTCTT